TTTGCTTGTATCCTCCTGAGGCCAAAGCACTCATCCGGAATCATTTTCCTTATTTCCACCTATTGCCTTGAATTACATTGCTACCCAGGAAAACATGAAAATCTCTCTCGTCATTACACACAAATAAGCACAACTACACACTCCTTTGTATTACTTGATAAGTGGTATTACGTTGAATTTCCTCAGTTCGGTTTATTAGGGCATGTGTAGAATTCAGTACATGAAAACGTGGTGCACAGTGGGCATGGGGCTGGTGAGGAGGTCGGAGTTTTAGTCCTAGGTCTGACATTAAGTGATCTCATTCAAGCCATGTAATTTTGGATAGGTCATTTATCTTCCCTGGACCTCATTGGCAAAATGTATCAGTTAAGCTAAAGAATTTCAATAATAGCTCTATATATCTGCACAGTGATTCAATCGTTTCTAAAATGATTTCTCATTAGATTATATCATATATATATATAATCTCATGAAATTATTTCTTACCTAGAAATGCCAACTGCCAATTATTTACTTTTTCAAAAGGCTATTATTTCAATAACCCATCCATCCATCCATCCATTCAACAAGCATTTATTGCCTGCTACTATATATTAGGCAATGTGCTAAAAGGCATGGTTCCTACCCTCAAGAATATGCCACTCTAATGGAGAAGATAGACACTCATGTCATTGATTAAATATACCCACGAATACATGTATAATTAACAACCTTGACATATGCTGTAAAGGACAAGTACAGAGGCCTTAATACGTGGAACTGGGAGTTCTGACCTCAACCGGGGAGCAGCAAGGGGAAGTCTCCTTGAAGGAGCAACTCTAGCTGAGAGCTGATGGGTGAGTGGGAGCTGTGTGGCCCCGAGGCTGCACTGGGGCCCTCCAGGCACGGGCATGGTCACGGCGTGCTGGATGCTACTTTGGGCTGGCCCATGGTAACGTGCCACAGGGTGTATCAGTCAACTCTGCCAAAACGCTTGCATCATTTCCTCTGTTGCTGACAAGCAAATATTCAGAAATATGAAAAACAAAAGGCCTTCATTAGATGCTAAAGAAAGTGCCTGCTGAACTCAGATGTCACCATTTCGCATCTCGCCAAGTCTTCCTGTGCAGAATCCCTGACTCGCTTTAACTTACACCTTGAGGAAGCCACTCAACTTCTCTGGGTCTTGGATTTGCCATTTATAAAACATGGGACTTGGATTATAGATATGATTCCTAAGGCCTCTCTTGTGTTCACCATTTTTCTGTTTCTAGAAGTACACCTGAGTTAGTGGAGAGGGGGAAGAGAGGCCATGAATCCTACAAAGCCCACTTGTGGCTGTATTTAAAAAATGAAAATTAGCGCACATTCACAGCACAAGGAAAGGTTGTAGGAATTGTAGCTATTGAAATGCAGGTTGGATGGAGCCAAAATTAGTTAACGCATCCACAGCTAATGCAGGGAAATGGTGATGCAGTGTTTCCTTGGCAATTGAGTTACTTAAAGGTAAAGGAACTCATTTTGATCAAAGACCAGTTTCTCTGCTTCTCATCCTCTCTGTGGGTTCTTCGGTTGTCATTCAGTGGAAAGGGATAAATCCATTTCACTAAAAAACAAAGGTCTTCCAAAAAATCAAGAAAAGGGCAATCCGGCTGGATCCAAACAAGCAGATACTCTAATGGGAGAGGCGTGCTCAGCCTCCCATGCACCCTTGAGGGGCTTGCGCATGCCTTAGGATCGCTCCCACCTTAAACTGGCTTCTGTGGATCCCTCAAACCTTAAGTCATTCGGGGCAAGCGATGCCAGAATTTACAGGAACCTGACATCTGTCAGTCTGAAAGCAAAACCTCGGATTTCAAACCAGTCAGTTCCTTCTAGAGAAGGAAAAAGGACAATAGCTGCTATTTCTTAGCATGCATAATCAATGCTGCAGGGGTTGCTAGGCAACAGGCAGGAAGACCGTCAAACATTCCTGGGTGCCTCCAATGGAGGAGAAGCAGCCCTGGCAGCCATTCCTCAGAGGTGAAGGGCTATGCAGGCCCTGGAGGCCACGTTCAGCTTGTCTCATTCCTTTAAAAAAATCCCTTTATTGTGGTCAGGACGGAACCATAGACATTTTCCTCCCAGGCTTATTACATAGTCTTTGAATACACTTTCAATTGGCCCACACGCCTAAAAATGAGCAGATCAGGCTGGTAAGAGGCAGCTCTATGAAAGGTTCATGTGTTTTTCTGACCCAATTCATCCCGGAGCCCATGAAAAATCAGACTCGTTTCTTCCGTGGCTGTAGCCTCTGGATCCCAGAAAGTTAAAATGGGCCTCCTCTCTGAAGCTTGAAATCATTCTGGCCAATGTAAGCAAAGCCTCCAATTTCAACAAAAGTTCACATTCAAGGTCATTGAGATGAGATTTCTTAGCTGTGTGACCTTGAAGTTGAAATGAATTTTTAAGCTGTAGATATTTTGCTCTCTCTACTTGAGATAAAGGGACAAATTTGCTTGTTTTTTTTGCGGTACGCGGGCCTCTCACTGTTGCGGCCTCTCCCGTTGCGGAGCACAGGCTCCGGACATACAGGCTCAGTGGCCATGGCTCACGGGCCCAGCCGCTCCGCGGCATGTGGGATCTTCCCGGACCGGGGCACGAACCCGTGTCCCCTGCATCGGCAGGCGGACTCTCAACCACTGCGCCACCAGGGAAGCCCTGGTTTTGTTTTTGTTTTGTTTTTCAGCAGTGTTGATTAAAGAGCAAACGCTCATCGCGGGTCGTTAATTTATAAACATTTATTTGGCAAAGCCAGGAGGTTTATGGGGACTAGGGCCTGGGTCGGAGTCAGGGGTGGGATTAGGGCTATGACTGGGATTTAAACCAGAAAGAAGCCTCACCGGCAGTAGTGCTGGGAAGCATGCTGTGGACAGAACAGCTGGCTACACACTGCTGATGCTGGCTGATCCTTCATCATGATGAGCCCGAGCCCTGAAATCCTGTTTTAGCACTAGTTTGGAAGGAAATGCAATGTCTGAGTTGAGGGCGCCATGGAGTTAGTCTCCTTAAGGACACCGCAAGAAGTATGCCGAAGCAGGAGCAGAATTAGGAGTGATACGGAAATGAAAGGCAATACCCACTGAGAAATTCTGTGAGTCTATCTCTTTATCAGGCTGAGGTCTTTCAGCTATTCCTACACTGTCCTCTAGGTTTCCCTAATCTCCCAGGATTTTCTCACATTCAAAGATTTCACCTTGTGACCCCATGAAGTGAATTTCTGAAGGCCTGACTTAGCTCCCTGGATGGCCTCCAAATATCAGTGGGAAACATGGCCCCAGGGCCTTCAGTCTCCCTGCCTATGACACATGCTAGACTAGGCTTATATGTTCCCTAAGTGTCTTCCAGCTCTAACCTTGCATCAGGCTATGAATCTACAAAAACAGAGGCACCTTTCGGTCCCATTTTTCCAAAGGGGGGAAAAAAAGATAGCAGCAGAAGAAAGCAAAGACTGCAGATATAGCACTGCCAAATGTTCTGAACATTTTGTGCTTTAAAAAATAACAAACTTTTTGAGTAAATGAAAGAAAAGAGGAAGCAATTGCAGCAGCAGGAATTAAGCATCCTCAGCGTCCCCTCAGGATTCTCACTTTACGCCACTCACCGCACTTCACCTCGCATCTCTCTAGCATCCCCCTTCCCCTCTTCTCTCCTCTGTCTCACTCCCCTCCTCCATTTACCTATCTTAGAGATGATGTTTATTTGATTGATATTACATTGCTCATCCCTAGAAAGGTCTGTCCTTTATTCGCCCCCGAGTGCAGCTTTTTAGGAGCCTTTGCTGAGAGTCTAAGAGTATCCGTGCCAGTCGGCTTAGTTACTTTTGATGACAAGGAAAGCAAATACACAGTGTTTCATCTGGATGAACTTTAACAGAAACTGTGTTTAGTGTGCAGGCTGGGGAAGTTCAAGAATCATTTAATTTCTCTCCTCTGTTACCCATTACACATGTATTAAAGTATTTTAAGGCTAAATACAACAGTAATGGAACACATGTCTCATTTTTAAAAAGTTGTCCTGGTTATAATGAGTAAATCAATGTCATTTGTACAGGTATTCTGTGTTTGGCCACACAAACAAACAAATAAAAACCCAAACTCAATCATGTGAGGCCAAGAAGTTACATTTTATTACATTAGCCACATCCGTATTCATTCGGCATTTAATTCACTTTATAAACATATGCCTATTTTAAGTGTTTTATATATTATACTTTGGTGAGTTGTTTTTTTTGTAATTTTGACAATGCCATGTGTAAAAGATATGCTGAAGTCTTTTGTGCTATTTATGTTGATTCTTGCAATTTAGAGAGCTCAGTGGAAATTTTAGCCCTTTCAATAATGTTTATCTTATTGAAGAACAGGTCTCCTTTTTTGAGTTTACGAAGACATGGCTATGATGAAGGACTTTCAGACTTCTGTGTAAAATCTTGTGTCTCCTAGGGAGGTGGGATCTACCAGAGATGTCACCCATCCCAGATGGAATCATGCCTAGGGCCTTGGAGACATTTGGGAGGGACAAAGTAAGTATAACAGAAGTTCTCAGCAGAACTGAGGCTGAGAGGGGAAGTGAAGGCCACAGTCTCCCTTCCAGAACCTTCGAACAGGAGACGAGCTCCCACTGAGCTTGGACGAGCACCAAGCAACCTGAGGAGACAGTGGAGTCTCCAAGACTTAGCCGGTTGGATTCTGTTTGACCTCACTGACCCCTATCCAGAATTTAGTTCACATTGACCGGGAAGAGGAGCTCAGAGCCATTCACAGCCTGTAGACTGGAAGGTTGTCCCTGAGCAGAACCTCTGACAGTTGGTTGCACCCCAAATATCCTTCCCACTGTCCATTCCTCTAAAGGAATTTGAACACATCCACCACAGCAGATGTAATTTGCTCCTGAATTGGCCACTACAATAACATAAAATAAAGCATCACCTCCACACCTGGGTGTGACCACGGATAGTGAGACGTTCTGGGGTGTTCGCTTACCTTCACTGCCACCAAGATCTTGTCCTGCTCAGGACAGAGGTTATAGCATTCGGCTAGGAAAACTTTTCCAAAGGCTCCTTCGCCTAGCTCCCTTTTCAGAACAATGTTATGTCGCTTGATGTGCTGAACAACTGTAAAACAAAGACAGAATGGACATTGGAATAGAGGCATGTGGAGCTGCAGGCAGAGGACGGGGAGTCAGCGGCTGCACCCTGAGCTTGCAGGCCCCCGGTTCTCTCCTCCGCACGAGGATAACCAGACGGGAAGCTCCGTGTCCATCCGCAAGGTCCGCCCCAAAGGGTCGGAAGGTGGCGGCGTTGGCTTGCTCTCCGGAGTGGAATTATTGTTTCTGATAGAACTAGAGGAGCCACCGAGCCGTTGGCTGCAGCATGTCGTTAATGAGCTTTACAGACTAGGAAAGGGGAGAAACGAGAAGGGAATGGATATTAATGGCAGGCCTCTCACAGGCCAGATGTTTTGCATGTATTTGTCAGTTACGTGTCTGGTGGGAAAGGCAGAGAGCTCGCCAGGAAGCCTTAAGTCTTTGTTAAGCCCCCTCAGACTCCTGGGGGAGAGAGGCTCAGAGGATACAAAGGCAAAATGCAAGATCTGTGCATTGCTGATTAAGGCTGTGTCCTCACCTCACTTTTCACCTCCTGCTGAGGTAGGCTCCATGGTTGAGCCGTAGTGACTCCTTTTGTTTAGACCAGAAATGTCTAGAAAAGGCTGGCTTCCTTAGCTCCTTTCTAAGATTGTGTCCTAGTCTTGGCTCTCCAAAGCTAAGAGGAGACAAGAATAGAAGTATCTGGGCAAGGGAGAATATTCCTCCCTCTCGTTCAGAGCAGAGCTGGCCCATGTCACTCATCCATGCGCCTTACTGGGGAAAGAGGCAGGAAGTGGTCCAGGGTCCTTTAGAGCCCAGTAGTGCAAGGTGGGAGGGGAGTGAGTGATTCTCAGGACAGAGCCAGTGGAGAAGCCCAAAAAGAGACTGTGCAGAGGACGGAGCTGCAGTGTGAGCTTGGGCCTCTTCACCCAGCACATCAAGTGTTGGATCCCTTAGCCCAGGGTTTCCACCAGGTCAATGGCACCATGCTTTTCTGGACAACTCATCCCTGAATGGCAGAGTTTAAAAGGACTGTGACTCCCTCTAGAACTTGGAATGTGCAGCCGACAATATTCTCTCATTTGACTCTCACCACACTGGGAAGCATTCCTTCCGACATTTTATACTTGGAGAAACTAAGTCTGCAAGAAATCCAACGATGCATAGCATGGGAATGGAGGAGTTGGCATTTGAACTTAGGTCTGTCTGGATCCAGAGTCCGTGATTTTTCTTTGACACCACAAAGTTCCTTTCCAATTGTAAATTGTGTTAAGTATAACAAGAGAAATAGAAATATATAATAGACTAAAAAGTAAAAATAGTCCTCCAGCTTCCTCTGTGCTTAGTTCACTCTTCAAAGGCCAGTTCAAACTCTCAAAAGTTCAAAAGGAAATACAAGGCATATCTCCGTAGTTTTAATAATAATAAAGCGAATACCCATGAACCCACCATTCCATTGTAAGAAACAGAATTTCACTAGTACTTTTAAAGCACCACTGTGTTCTTTCTTGATTGTACCCACTTCCTACTCACCTCCCAGGGGTAACCACTATCCTGTATTTTGTGTTAATCCTTTGCCTTATTGGTTTGCTATCAATGACGTATCCTAAACCAGAGAGTGCTGGGCTTTGCCTGTTTTGAACTTATATAAATGGAATCATACTACAAGCATCCTTCCATGTCTTACATCTGTCACTCAACAATGTCCTTGAGATTGAATTACATTGTGTGTGTAGTAGTAATTCTTCTGCTTTTACTACTTTATAATATTCTGTGGAAGGACTGTAACACCATTTATTTATCCATTCTATGTTGATGGATATGTTATACAGTTTCTTTTTAGATACAGCTCGATATAAAATGCAACTGGTGATTAAGGTTCTGTTTTAATAGGATTTTTCCACTTATAATTCATGTGGTTTGGAGCTACGGCTGCTTCCATGGGCCTCTGGGAACTCAGGGTGATAAAAACCAAAAGGTCTTTTATGAGCAACATTATTAATGAATCTAAGAATGTATATTAATTTCTCATGCTCCAGTAGCAATGATTGAATTTAAGAGGGAGAAATGTGTTCATTAGGAAGAGTGCCCATATGAAGAGACGAATGTAATTCTTGCAGAGAATTAGCTGCCCTATTTAAATCTAATATTTAACTCCATGGTTGTCACATGTTCATTGGGAATTAAATTGCCGCTTGATTTACTTTACACTCCAACCAGATCAAGGCAAGTATTTAACTCTTTTTTTTTTTTGCATTTGATTTATACTTTTCCTCCCTCCCTCCCTCCCTCCTTTCTTTCCTTCCTTCCTCCCTCCCTCTCTCTCTCTCTCTCCCTCTCTCCATTCCTTCCTCCCTCCCTCCTTTCTTTCTCTCTCTCTTTCTTTCTTTTCTTTGTTTCTTTCTCCCTTTTCTTTCCTTCCTTCCTCCCTCCCTCTTTCTCTCTTTCTTTCTCTCTTTCTTTCTTTCTTTCTTTCTTTCTTTCATTCCAAGCAGTAAAAAAAAGTTGGTGGCAAATAAGTTCATAAAGCTATGGATAAAGCCACAACTAAAATTATTGAGACCAGTTTTCCCATGTTGACCTTGAAGGCAGTAAATGCATCTTTTCTTTAAGAAATGGGCTATTTTGCATTAATTTGTTTTGCTATGTTTGAGATATAATAGTTTACAAGAATGCTGGCCTTTTGCCAATGTAGTCCCTCTAAATAGAATGAATTTCTCTTTTCTAAGACTGGAAGCCACCAAAGGGCACAGGTAACAATTTTGTGTTTGTATTTGCATTTCTGCCAGGGTCTCACAGCTGGTGCTACCCAAACATTTGTTGAAAAATGTGCCGAATGATAATAAAAACAACAGACAAATACTGTTTAGTTATATTATTTCAGTTAACTGACAATAACCCTACTGAGTATGTAGGCAATAAAGCAGCCCAATTCTCCAAGATATCAGGAGTAGGGAGAACAGCTAGTCTGAAGCTATTACATCCTTGAGCTAAGAATTTCTTCCCATTCCAGGAGAGCATCGGGACTTATCCCAACCTGCCTCACTGTCTGCTTCCCTCAATCAAGGGAAGTCCCTGGTACCCTCTCAGGGCCTCCCTCTTTATCCAGCCTCAAACCCCCAAATTGTTCATAAGTGCCCAAGGCTGAGCCAATGCTCACGTCTTCACCTTCCTCACAACCCCTTCCATCGGTCCCTCTGGGCTCGCTCCCCTGTCATCCACAAGCTCCCTGTATCCTCAATCTCTCCATAAACTTCCCTTCACCTCCTCGACTCAAACAAAACCTTGGCTATGTCTGAGGAAACTCATGCCTTCCCCCTGCAGCCCTCTCAAATGAAAGCCATCCCCACTCCTCACCCCCAAGTTCTTCAAGGCCTGTGTGCCTGATGTCTGACCATTACCCACCCCACTCCTGCTAGAGCCCCAGCCAGCTGAAAGCATCTATCTTATGGAACCATCAGCCTGACCATGTCTGCCCCCTCAGTCTGACATCTTGGCTACTCCTCTCACCCACTGAGCTCCTGGCTCAAGCTTTCCCTCTCCATCCTCCCGATGCCATCATTCTCAGGGCCCGAGGCACAGAGGGCTGAAGTAGCTTGCCCAAGCTGTACAAACACTTGGCTGCCATTTGTCTTGTGTCTTTCAATAGTGTGGCTGAGAGGCGAGGCATTGGGAAGTTTGGTTTGGCTGTTTGCATGGCATTTAGCTGACTTTTTCTGGGAGCAAGACTTCCTTTTTTAAAATTTTATTGTATTATTTATTTTTGGCGGGGGTGGGGTAGGGCTCACCATGTGGCCTGCAGGATCTTAGTTCCTTGACCAGGGATCAATCTGTGCCCCCCTGCAGTGGAAGTGTGGAGTCCTAACCACTGGACCACTAGGGAAGTCCCAAGACTTTCTTAATGAAGGAAGCAACGCACTGGTTCCTATTCTAGACAGTCTCACTGTGGACAAGCACTTTGAATAACACTGCCTTAAAGGGTCCTAGGAACCCTGGGCTCATTGTACACAAAATATCCTCAGTGAAGTGAGTCTAAAGATTCCATGATAAATAAGCTATCAGGTAAGCATGTTAAAATTTTTACACGCTTCATTTCTCTGAGGTCAGTCAATTCTCTGCTTTTAACTTTGGAGACCCCAGTAAAAATACCTCAAACCCAACATGAATAACTAATAAAAAAAATAAATGAAAGCCCAGACTCTACCATAAATGGCTCCTTAGTTTTGGAGGAAAACTCAAAACAATAATTGATTTTTTAAAAAAAAATTTTATAAAAAAAGTATCTCTTTGAAATTCACCATGCCAAAAAAAAAAAAAAAAAAAGGAGTATCTTGAAGAGGTGTAGGTGGTGTAGGAGCTATACCAACAAACTCATGTGGTCTGCAGACTGATCTATGTACGTTCACATAGTCAAAACAAAGGGTGTGATTAGATTATTGTGCAAAGAAATCTGCTGTGTGGAATTGGGGAGAAATTGATGACCAGCAATAATAATCGTGATGAGGGGCTAAAAACTGTCTGGATGTCTTTATCACTAATGGAATTTCCCAGAGTGGAAATTTGGTGCCCTTAGTCATTTGCTTCCTAAGTACCAGAACTGAGTAGATTTCTGGTTTTGTATTAGTATCACATTACAGCCACTGAAAAATGTATTTTGTCACAAAGTAGCTTCAGTAGTTTATGGAGATGCTTGCAGTTTCAGATGGCTTAAATCAAATTCCTGGTATCAATATCTCCCAGAAGTAAATATTCCATATTTACACATAGGCTATAGTATCAACCCATCTCTATATTCATTATTACTAAATCTAAAACTAACAAAACAAATAAATAAATACAACTCTACCCACTTAAGGTTGAAATCGGAAATATATCCTCCCACTTCCTCAGTAATGGGGTTTCATAGAGATCCTTGGCCTCCTGGACGCATCCTGCTCAGAACCTGGACATTTGAGACATTTATTGAGTCTCTAATATATGTCAAGTACTAAGTGACCTGCAGTTAAAAGGAAAGATATTTTAAAGTTG